AGAGTACAACATTCTTGTATTAATACGTTCCCCTTGTTTTGGACTTTATTTGATGTCTTTCAGCCGACACATTTCAATTTTTTGCACCAATTTTTTGAATATTGCAGTCGATAGCGCCTTCGTAAATAAATCTGCAAAATTTTCAGATGATCAAATCTTTTGGACATTAATTTCACTATTTTTCTAAAGATCATGAGTGAAAAAGAACTTCGAAGTATGTGTTTTGTCCGATCGCCTTTAATATATACTCTCTTTAACTGAGCTATACAAGCTACATTATATTCCAGCAATATTGTATGAGGTATTATATCATCGGTAATCAAGCCACAATTTTCTGAATATGATGAGTCATAGACCTCAACCAAACGCATTCACGATTAGCTTCGTGAATTGCTAAAACCTCAGCATTGTTTGAAGAAGTAGTTGTTATTGTCTGTTTAGCAGATCTCCAAGAGAATGTTGTTCCACTAGAAGTGAATAAATAGTCGGTTTGGAATTTTGTTTTATGTGGATCAAAAAGATAACCAGCATCAACATAACCAATTAATTCATTCCGAGATTCACTCGAATAAAATAAACTGAGGTCATGAGTCCCCTGAAGATAACGAAAAAATGTGGTTGATACCATTCCAATGGCGCTTTGTGAGGATGCGCTAAACCTGGCCAGTAAATTTACTGGAAAAGATATATCTGGTCTGGTACAATTTGCAAGGTATATTAATGCGCCAATAGCGTTGAGATATAGTACCTCGGGGCCAAGAATTTCTTCATTTTCTTATCTTGGCCTGAATGAATCTTTACTAGGATCTAACCACCGTTGGAGTACTTAGAGAGTGAGATTTATCCATATAAAATTGTTTTAATACCTTTTTGGTATATGTGGATTGATGAATAAATATCATATTATTAACATGATCCACTTGTAATCCCAGACAATATTTTGTCTTTCCAAAATATTTGATCTGAAATTCTTTCTTTAGATATTCAACTGTAATTTCGATCTCTTCAAGAGTTCCAATTAAATTGAGATCATCAACATATATGGCAATGATGACAAAATTTGATCCATTTTTTCTTAATGAAGACGCATGGGCATATTGGATCATTAGTATAACTTTTTTTTATTAAACATTCAATGAGATGGTTATACCACATTCGCCGTGATTGTTTAAGTCCGTACAATGACTTTTTCAATTTGATAGAATATGATTCATTTGGGTTTAATTTGTATGCTTCAGGCATATTGAATCTCTCAAGAACTTTTATATAAATATCAGTATCCAATGAGCCACAAAAATATGCAAGTACATATCATTAATATAGTATAGTTATATATGATTAACATCATCCAGACTATACCCACTAGGGATGACATACCGTACCGTACCGAAAATACCGGTCGATACCGATATCGTACCGAACTTTTCGGTATGACAAAAATACATACCGGTACCATATCGAAAGTTTCAATATACAGAATTTCGGTATACCAAAATTTTTGGTACGGTACCGGTATATACCGTTTATACCGAAAATTTTAATTTCGGTACGATACCGGTATATATCGTTTATACCGAAAATTTTGATTTCGATAAATACCGGTATATACCGATTATACCGAAAATATAATTTTAAATTTCAAAATAATTAAAAAAATTAATAAATATCACTATTCTCCACCACAAAAATATTATGAAAAAATTAATAAATTTTCCATAGTTTGTTATGATTTTAAAAAAATATTAATAATTAAATTATTTAATAAAATAATATCGGTATGGTATCATACCGAAATACCAAAAATTTTGATTTCGGTAGATACCGGTATATACCGATTATACCGAAAATATAATTTAAAATTTCAAAATAATTAAAAAAATTAATAAATATCACTATTCTCCACCACAAAAATATTATGAAAAAATCAATAAATTTTCAATAGTTTACATATTTTTTATGATTTTAAAAAAATATTAATAATTATTATTTATATTAATAATTAAATTATTTATTAAACAAATTAAATAATATCACTATTCTTCACCACAAAAATATTATGAAAAAATCAATATCTTTTCAATAGTTTATACATTTTTTGTTATGATTTTAAAAAAATATTAATAATTATTATTTATATTAATAATTAAATTATTTAATGAAAATAATATCGGTACGGTATCATACCGAAATACCGAACTTTCCGAAAATTCATACCGATACCATACCGAAAATTTATCGTACCGAAATTTTCCGCATACCAAAATTTTCGGTATTTTCGATACGATACGGGTAATAAGTTGGTATTTCGGTATGTTCAGTAAATTTCTCCATCCCTAATACCCACACATCATATTAATGGATGAATAGATATCAGACAAGCATGTCAGTATAAAATCGTCACGATTTAAGATATTTTGCACCATCATATTAATATAAGACAAAACAAATCATTCAATATATCACATAAAAACAGGTTTTGAGTATGAGAATGGTATATCCATCATATGATTCTAATGCAGTCATCATATCTATTTAAGATACACATCATACCTATATAAATTATGGACACAATAACAATTATCTCATCTAACATAGTCATAATATATCATTTAGCTCTTATATATAACAAGTATACATCATGCAAAAGGGAGAGCAAAAGGGTTTAATAGTGAACATATCATTCACATATCATACCTATTTTAGATGGACATCATCTAGCTTAAATTTATACATCATATAAACGTAAGATAAAAATCAGATAAGGATATCGACATAAATCAAAGTTATGTATAGAAATATTACTTCTATCTACCAAAGAACCAACATGGATAGTTTTTCATCAAACATCTAAACAAAAATACACATTTACGGTTGAAAACTGCGCAAAAACTACACAATTATAACAAAAAGGCAATCAAATTTGTTCAACATCAACCAACCCTCCCCCTTCCTCTTCTCCTACCACGCGCGATAGTACCTCTCATTCCATCACGTGATGGACATTCTTTTCTCTGTTCTTCTTCTTCTGCAGTCTTCCTGAGTTTGGCCAATGCACCTCATTTGATGCATATGTTCTTCCTTTCTCCCTAATATATTGTTCAATTGTGTTCTCTGACTGTAAAAGTAGATTAGAACAAATTTGTTTCCTTTCGCCGCTAAGTCGAAAGAGTTTGGTGTTATTGAAATGGAAAACCTTCCTCGGGATACGCAAAACTTGTATGAACTTAATTCTCTTTGGCTTGTGCTTCACGGAAGGCTCTAGGACTTTTTTTTTTCTCCATTGATGCAGAGGCGGTTGACTGGTCCACGACGGAAATGGACCGAGTGCGACGTTGTTGCTTAGAATCGCGATGGATTGTACGGGTACAATTGAATTAAGGCTCAGGTTACTTTGGTGGGGGATAGGAGGCAAACGACGACAGTGATGTGTGCTTGGCAGCGGTGGTGTGCGGTCGATGCTGGGAGAGGGAGCTGGCGGCGATGTGGCTAAAGATTGGGGACATGGTAAATTCATTTCGGGCGATGGTTATGGTTGAGTAAATAATTGGGAATTTGGGAAAAATACTCATTTAAAGAATTTCTTAAAATTAATACATAAGAAATTACTGCAATAATGTGAATGTTATTTTCTAAAAATAACTCCACTAATTGAAATTAATTTTGATATAGTGTATATTTTGAATTTTTTGGAATGCAGAAATCAAACTTACTCATTGTAATTAATATTTATTATTTAAAAAATATGAAATCATATTGCGAATTTGTGAATATCAATTTAAGATAATATATATTGTGTTCACTTTACCTTAAGACATCGTATTAAGAATATTATAACAACATAGTTGGAAGGTGTGTGCATAAATACGTTTTCGAATAATTTTTATTTAAAAATAACTTAATTGCATACTTTTTTAATTTATGTGGGTTAATGTTACCAAAGATAACATATCTAGTTCGCAAATTTAACTTTTTTTAATTAATTAATATTTAATTACTTTTCTTCAAAATCCCTAAACCGCACTCCATGAATGTCAACCATTAGATTATAATGATATTTCATCCAACGGGCAAGATGAATTCAGGATGGTGCTGAATATTGCATAAGATCGAAAAGATACAAGCAGCCGTGTGAATATATTTAATATTATATGTAAGTATATAATAGTATGTTTGTTTGGGGTTTGGATTTTGAGTTTGGATTTGAATAGAAAAATTTTGAATTTGAATAGTTGTATGATGTGATATAAATAGGTGTTGATGTGATGTTAGATTGATTTTTAGTATAATATAAAAAATGAAAAATAAATGTTTGATTTGATTTTTTGGGAAAAAAAAATTGGATGAACAGTGTAAATCCAATCCAATCTCCCAAACAAACACAGGGATGAAAGGTAAAGAGAAAGAGTTTGTAGTATGTTTAATTCTATTCTTATACACCATTTATGTAAAAATTTGAAAGCTAATTAAGTGGCTATAGAAGTGCCAACAAAACATTATGTATAATATAGCAAAGCATGCACATTTATGGCAAATAAAAACTACGCCGATTCGATATTATGTATATAACATTATTATTGCTGTTGTTGTGTTTTATAATTTTATTTTTTTCAGCATATGTTATGTTATGATATCAAGCCCTGTTACTTCAGGATTTAATTTTAATATCTTTACTATTCAATTATTTTGTATATAAAAATATAGTATTTGCTTTTACAGTATTACATTCAAATCAAAACTAACTCCCAAAATTACACTCTTAACATAGTTACATTCAACTAATAGTTTGTCCTAAAATCATTTTTAAAAGAAGACATGCATAAATATATAAAAAATAATAATAAAAATAAAAATAACCCTACTTTTACATTAAAACTTGTACATAAATTGAAAGGATCATCATGAAATTAGGGCATTATGTTTTCGGAATTGGAAGCCTTTTGGTTTTCTCATAATGTGTATTATTATTAATAAAAATAAGCATTAAGGAAACAACAGTCAGATGTCAGATAGATAATTCTCATAATTTAGGTTTAATTATTCTGAAATTGAGATGTAGCAAGGCAAGCAGCATTTCATAATTAAATCATAAGTTTTGAATAATAAATAAATAGATAAAGGTAATGTTGAAGCTAATTGATGCTTACTGCTGGTGAGCTGAGAGCTGAAGCTTCTTGGTCAGTGAGTCTTGTCAACAACAAGGCTTTGACGGAGTTGGGGAAGATGGAGGTCTCCAATCCGGGTACTGCATGCATGCATGCATTATTAACTAACATCATCATTATCGTTACTGTTACTGTTACTCTATTAATTAATATCCACACAACAAACATATAACAAAATTAGTCCCAACACCATAATATAATATGAGAGAGAGAGAGAGTTTCATACATTTGGATATGGAGACAGCGGCCTTTGGCCACCGCCCGCACTCAAATTTTCATTTGCGAATTCTTTGTTGGCGATGCTCGAATCAGAATCTCTAGTCGAGGAGGAAATGCCATCGCCATCGCCATCGGTGCTGCTGTCCGTTAGGATCATCCCACCATTTTTATTGACATGTTTCAGCTTCTTCTTTGGGAAGACATGTACATATAGGGGTAGAAGTGTCTCTTGTATCTCCTACAAAATAAGCACACAACATCCATCCAGAATAACTAACAAATCACATGCTTAAGTGAAGCACCAAATACTAGTCAAATCCAAAAGCATTCATTTGACACACATTATTAGGTACATCATAACCAACACCATACACGGAAAAATTTCAAGATTGGATTCTAAAATTTTCCAAAAAAAGTGCCATAATATAATATCTTGAATGATTAACAGAAGACAAAAAGAAATCCTCAAAACATCAGCATCACCACCGTTTGAGAAAATCATGTGGTCTAACTGCTAGCCTGTGAGTGCCAACTCAATTGATTCGATTCGATTCGATTCAACCATAATCATACACAGCAAACACCAGTCATGCAACCATGTCGAAAACAACACTCAGATGCTTGAACATCACCCAAGACTTCAAAAGAAACAAATAGAAATAAGCATATCATACCTGCCATCCCTTCTTTCCCCTGATCCCTCCCCGGACAGCATAAGCCTCTTCGAAACCATTTTTCACCAACAGCTCAGCTACTTTCAAAGAATTACCATCAAAACTACCTTACACATGACACAGTTCAACAAGAAAATTGGTTTAATACTCCATCGATCTCAGAAAACATGTTGAAAAAGCAGTAGTAGCCTGAACCACTTAAAATAAAGCAACAACTAATTTGTATTTCCACTCCACAAGCTTTCTACAAATTTTACCAATGAATATAGCAGCAAAAAAGGCTCTAAACCCTTCTAAATATTGAAGACTTCACCAAAATTACTGTAGAATGATATTACCACTAGAGCAGTAAAAGTAAAGCTCAAAACTTACTCGTCGAGAACACAAACACAAGTGTCAGCTGGATCCCCGAAATTCTCCAGTACCCTCCTCACAAAACCTTCTTCATCCCCTTCTCGGAATTCCACCTGCACAGCACTCTTATTCAACCTTTTCAAATTCGGTGAGCCCAAAGAAGCCACACTCTTACTTTCCCTGATGTCCAACAACTGGCAATTGGCATCATCCTTCAGCTTGTTGAACGCATTAATGGCGGATACATATTTATACTTCTGCAAGTACTCTTCAATCAAAGGGATTGCAACAAGCCAAATGAAGGCCACTGTGGCAACAAAGAAAGGGTACCTATTGAAGAAGTTATCAATGGAAACCAAAACGGATTCCAAGTTAATTTTGTTGGACACTTCTTCGGGGGGAAGATCACCAGTTTCAGAAGCCAAGCAAGAGAGGGGGGAAGATAGTCCAACAAACAGTAGAGGAAACTGATTCTTGATAAACAATCGATGGAATTGAACAAAATAGAGATGTGTGGTTCTTGAATCAGTATCATTTTGGAGAGTTGAGTTTCGGGTTTCAGAGGTAAGGGAATTGAAGGAAAGAAGTTTAGAAGAGCAAATGGGGGTGTAATTTGAGAGGAATATATGTGATTTCTTAGCTGATTTAAGGGTTTTCGAAGGGAATTTTAATGGAGGAGAAGATAAAAGGCATCTTGAAAAAATATCCATCCTGAACGAGAAGACAAAACAAAGGCAAATGGATTGAAGGGGAGAGGGAAGATAACATGATGATCATGGATTTACATTTTTACCCTCACTCACTCCATCCTGGTTCTACAGTTAAACAGGCAAAGACTGGCTTAGCCCATTTGTTTAAAAAAAAAAACAAACAATAATAATAACTGGCCAAATGTTAGAAAATTTATTAAGCAAAAATGATCAGTATGTTATTCCTATAGACTAGAAATGCCTATGAAGCTAAGTATTATCATATGCATATTACTCAGATGCTAATTAATTCCTGGAGGCTAATATAATCAAATTCAACAGGCAAACTTACCTCATCAGGACACTGTAAGTGTCCTGTCATTACCATTCTCCTGCTCTTTGAATTTCTTGTCAAAGCCTGCTAAGTAATCCTCCATGCATGTTTTGTAGTTCTGCATGCCTGGAACCTTCACGGCTAATTCCAGTCCAATGCACATCCACTTTTTTGCTAGCTCAATCTGCCCCATTTTTACTGGACCGGCAGCTCGGTTCCATGCCGTTGTGGCGAGCCATTTGGCTTCTTCAATGGGATACTCACCTTCCTTCAATCCAACCATGATTCGGTAAGCTTGCTTGTACATTTCAAGTACAGAGTCATCATCTGCGCCTCCTGCCTTGTAGACTGTGGTGATAGAGATCAGCTTCCTCAAGACTAGAGCCGTAGTCTGGTAGTCCGGAGAAGGGGAAGAAAGAAGGGCAGTGAGACAAGTGCTTAAAGCAAAGTTGCTGACTTCGGGGTTGGATCGTGGTCCTTGTGAGGCCTCAAGGCCAATCTGAAGCAAATGTTTGGGGTTGCAAGATTTTGAGGTCGCAAAGCTTTTTACCAGTAGGAGCTGTTGGGCATTCATGTCACTCAACCTGGAGTGAAGGTTGAAAGCACTCCAAGTGTACACGAAGAAGAAGTTTGGCTCAATGGCAGCTGTTTGATCATCATTTTTTCTGCTCGACATCAATATCTGCATGTAACTATAAAGTCAAAGTATGCAGAGCTACATGCTTGAGGAAATTTCCCATGGTGTTTACTGAATTTACTTTTTCTGTGTGTGCATTATTTGTTTCAGAAAATAATGAAAATTTAGATGGTTACCTTTCCAGCTCTGCCCAACAGCTCAATGGTTTGTCGAACTTCATTTTCCGGCAAGGTGGTTTTGTTGTGCATCTCATCAGCAATTATGGCAGATGCAAACAGCATGATTGATTTACAAACCATTGCATCATCTTCAACCTCTGTTTCTCCGTCAACTATAGCTCCATAAAATTGTGATGCCAATTTGAAGAATTCAGCAGACATATCATACTTCTTCTCCTGCCCAGTTCTTGCTCCAAAATTCCAAGCATTCCCTGCGAACCAGTTCTTCTCCCGCCTTCCAACTTCACATTTGCCAAAGAAGAGGTCAGGCCCAACCTCAGACAGCCGGACATAGGCTTGTTTCATGTGTTTGAGGACATCAGCATCACTGTCCGGGACCTGAGTTAGAATTGTAATCAAGGTGCGGTGTACCACGACCTCATTGGTTGGCATTGGTTTCCCAGATGAGTAAAAAGTTAGGAGTTGGGACAGAGAGGCAATGGCAACTGGGAATGCCTGGCAGGCGACAGCTTCATGGGCTGCCAGGGAAATGAAATCATTAGTGAAGTCCAGGCAGGTAGGCATTGCTCGCATCTGAGCAATAGCCCTGTCGTGATCGTTCTTCTGCAAGAAAATCTTGAACTGCAATTTCTGTTATGTCAGTAAGTCATCAAGCAGATATGTGCACAATGGTGAGATATGTCATGGAGAATACCTTCAGAAATGCACTCGCTATATTGGGTTCCAACTGCAGAAACAAAAATGGTGGGAAGACACAAGTTAACCGCAGAAATGCAGGCTTCAAACATGACGTAATAAATAATTTAGCCAACACTTGTATGTATGCATGCCTTATCAGCTTCATTGATGTATTCTTCAGCTCTATCTAGCTGCAATAGGCCTAAGTAGCAGAGGCATAGAACCCGGTACCCCTTTGCTCGGATAATTCTGTTCTCTATTCCATGAGGTACATATAGCATAGAGTTTTCGAACAGCTCAGCGCTGAGTACATAACCTTTCAACCGAAAATGCTCTGTTGCACTGTAAAACAAAGGCTTTAAGGCATAAGTTGTGCCTAACCTAACAAAGTGCCACAGAGCACAAATCTGAATACCACAAACTCAAAGAAAGATGGCATTCAACTGTAAATTTTGCCATGATAAGCTCAAAGTTTTGTGGCTAATCTACAAGATATGAGTATGAAATATAAGCCAGATATCACACACACATAGCATATACCAGTACAAACTAAAGCAAATGAAACCAATCAAACCAGCCCATATTCCTATACAGTCTAACAATTGCAGGTTACTCCTAATGGTTAGTTGGTTCGATTGTGATATGTAGTTTTGATTTCAGTTTCTAAACTACTGGATATTAAAAACTTGATATTCATTAGCATATTTCTTATAGAGCCAATGAACAATAGAATCACCAGTTCCAGAGAAGAGCATGCATGGTGGTCCTCTCCTTAGCAGCACCTTCTCTGTTAAACAGCGCCACCACTCTTTCATCTGAAACCAGCTGACTGACAACATCAGCTCTGACCTTCACTCCTTCACCACTGCTCAATCCATTCCCAATCACTCTATTGACAACCCTAATTGCAGCCCCGGCGCTTACATGACAACGCTCTAGTAGCCCGAGAAACACTCCTTTAACTGTCTCTGCACCTGCTGCGCCGGAGGCCTGAAAGAACGACTCCACTGCCGATACCCAAACAGCCTCAGGTATTCCTTTATTTAGTACCATTCCTCTCAATTCCTTTTCTGCTTCACCATACCTCCCCAAACCCAGCCAGGCCTTCATGGCCAAGACAGTCAAGCTTGGGTGGTTGTCGCCACCACTCCCAACATCCCTCAAAACCTTCACACACTTTAACACACTCTCGAACTCATCACTCTGCAAATGTGCAGCTGCTATGAATCTCAGAGTCTTCAGTCTCAACTCCTTCAAAATCAGAGTCTCCTCTGTCCTTTTCACTACTCTCAAACCCTTTTCACACAATTCCAACGCATCATTCATCAACTTCAATGCATCATTCATGGCAGAAGATTCGTTTCCTGCGAGCAATGTCTTTCCAAATGCCAAGTACTGATTAGCAAGGGCACTGAAGTTCCTGGAAACTCCAAACAAAACATTTTTTGACCTATTTAGTAATGTAATTGCCAAATTTCTATCTGAAACTTCCCAAGCTGCTCGAGAACGAGCGAGGTTGAGATCTAAGAGCAATTTCCGCTCGTCATCGTCCGAAACTGCGCTATTGTCAATATTTGATACTAGCTCGGTAGCCTTTTCAAAGCAATTGTTAGCAGAATCCAAAATTGTTAGGTCGTACCAAATTAACCCGGTCTTGTAGAAGAACAGAGCCGCCTTGAACGCCGGAGAGGGAATCCCAGCCACGTCGACAGTAAGAAAAAGCAGCTCAGCCGCGACTTGCCGGAGCTTGGCGTGTTCCTCTGAGATTTTCGCTGAGGATGCATTGGAGAGATCAACGCACGCGTTCCAAAGGCGGTAGCTTAGTTTCCAAACAAGAAGCTTCACGGAATTGGGAAACGGAGCGAGTTGAGTCAACTGAGTTAGCGTCCGTCGAAGGTCGGAGGAGAACGATTCCTGCAAGGATTGCACGGGCGAGTGACGCTCGAGCAACTTGATTGTGGACTCAATTTGTGAGAGCGCGGTGGCCTCTACGACGGAGTCCCGCCGGCGGTCCGGCGTGGATGAAATCTCCGCGATTCTCATTAGGTGATTTGACACGAAGTTATGGCGCGAAATTTCGATGATAATTCACTCAAAAAGTGATTGTTTTGAGCACCGACATCTTTGGCTTGTTTAGATAATAATAATAATAATAATAATGAGTAAAGGTCACTGTTACTCCCATTCAAATCCAATTTTTTCATTTTTTGTCTCATACACAAAAAAGAAAAAAAAAAATTTATCAAAATTAGTTCCACCCTTATCATTTCTAATCTTATCGTTCAAATTTTTTCGATTTCGGCTGACGTGATTATTACAGATGCTAACCTAGAAGCTGACTCGGACACAACACGCCCATATTGCACAAAACACATCCGTGTTTATAATACACATCATTTGACCAAATTTGAGACTCCAACACAGGCGTGTTTATATGGAACACAACCGTGTTTCTACGGAATACTATGATACATGGGCGTGTTCATTAAGACACGGCCGTATTGTACCATTAAAAATATTGGCTATTAGAATTAGCCGTACACAACCATGTTCGACCTCGTTGTTGACAAAAACCCTAACCCTACATATCCCCCATTTTAAATCTATTTCAATCAAATTTTCTCTCATTTCTTCCCCATTCCAGCCTCACTTCTCCAATCTATTAACCTCACTTTTCATATATTATATTTTATCTCTTTGAAGAATATTATTGTAAAATTTATTGTGGAGATAATTTTTAATTTGTTCTTTTCATATACATATTATTATTTTTTATGAAAGACGTTAAATTTATGAAAAGAACAAATTAAAAATTACCTCCACAATAGATTCCACAAGATTATTCTTTCACTTCAAAGCGACAAGATATAATATATGAAAAGTGAGGTTAATAGATTGGAGAAGTGGGACTGAAATGGGGAAGAAATATAAGAGAAATTGATGAAATAGATTTGAAAAAGGGGACATGTGGGGCTAGGGTTTTTATCAACAACGAGGTCGAACACGGCCGTGTTTACTTACAAACACAGCCGTGTACGGCTAATTCTAATCACCAATACTTTTAATGGTACAACACGGCCGTGTCTTAATGAACACGCTAGTGTATCATAGTGTTCCGTAGAAACACGGCCGTGTTCCATATAAACACGCCCGTGTTGGAGTCTCAAATTCGGTGGTGTATTATAAACACGGGCGTGTTGTGTCCGAGTCAGCTTCCAGGTCAGCATCCGTAACAGCCACATCAGCCAAAACCGTCAAAATTTGAACGGTGGGACTAGAAATGATAAGTAATTTTTTGAATGGGCCTAATTTTGATAAATTTTTTTGTATGGAACCAAAAATAAAAAAATTGAATTTGAATGGAACTAATAATAATTTTTACTCTAATAATAATAGTAGTAGTAAAAAGTATGGGAATAAATTAATCATTGGTATACACATAGCACACATGTGCTAGGTAGTCCATATGTAAACTTTTAATTCCTTGGCACTAAGATATTCACATTTATAAATATGGGTTGAATGAAATAAAATGAATACTCTTATTCTCTATATTTCTCCCTCGTCAACATTCAACATCGGACATACATAAAGTTCATACATACATACATTATCTAATGTATTATATATTTATATACTAGCATACACACAAAATATATATATTACTACTTACACGTATATTATATATATATATTATATATCATATATTATAATATTATATATAGTATATTATACTATATATAAAATAGTGATTGGCGGTAAAAGTAATTAATATTTCTATCGTTGTCAGCAAGATTATATATTTTAATTTTTGTAAGGTAATATTTTATATTTTATCTGTTTATTATGTCTAACCTTGTCAAAAAAGAATTTCTCTCTCTCCTGGTTTCTAACTAAAATTATATGGTTTTGGCTCGCAATGTTAAAATGCATCTGGCATCAATAAGCTTGAAAAATACCATTGACTAGGATAAAAATTCCTCAAGCCAAGATCATGCACAGGCCATGATCTTTTTGTACCATCACATCGATAAGGTACTGAAAATGCAGTATGTAATGTTGAAATCCCCACTTGAACTGTGTGAGAGATTGAAAGAAAGATACGATCATTTGAGGCTGATTTTGTTGCCAATGGCACGAAGCGAATGGCAAAGCCTACGGCTTCAGGACTTTAAAACAGTCCAAGAATATAATTCTGTCATGTATAAAATAACATCACAGTTGCGCCATTGTGGCGAAAATATATCTGAATCTGATATGATGGAGAAAATTTTCTTCACTTTTCATATCTCTAACATAATTTTGCAGCAGCAGTATCACGAAAGAGGCTTCAAAAAATATTCTGAGCTTATTACTTGTCTTTTGTTGGCCGAACAAAATAATAAATTGTTGTTGAAAAATCACGGATCTCGGCCGACAGGTGCAAATCCATTTTCAAAGGCAAATACAATACAGCCGGAAAATCTGGTGTCTGGTCGTGGGCAGGTCAGAAATCAACGAATTGATCATGATCAAAATCAGAATCGCGGACGGGGCCGAACAAACGCATACAGTCATAATAATTATCAAAACAGGCCCCGATATATGTCAAATCGGCGTTATAATGACAGAAGGCCGTACAGACCTCAACAAAGGTTCAACACCAAGAAAAATAGAAGCAATGACAATGAATGCACCCGGTGTGGAATCAAAGGCCATTGGGCCCATGTTTATCGCACAACCAGTCACTTGGATGAATTGTATTGCCCCTGAAATAAATCACGTTGCCCACGATAACACATTTGATGATGTGATGAATAAAAATATCACGCACCTGGATGCCGATGATCTGCTTAACATAGTTGATGATGTTAAATGATAAAATGTTAAATGATGGAAATCGGTTGAGGGACAGCCGACGGAAGGGTGAGAGAAGGGTTTTACCTAAACCCCACGATGTGACAGTGTAATGATTGCACTGTACTACAAACTCCTAAACGTCACAAGAAGTAACGCTTAGGAGTCGGGCGGGAGGAGGCAAGTTGTTGAGTAAGAAAAAACCAATGTGCAGGGTTTTCGAGAATGGGCCTAGGGCTGTGGACTGGTGTATAATTCAATAGGTCTGTTAATGGCAGTGGGATCCTAAATGGGTCTGAACATAAGCCAAACGGCCCAAGTGTTATTAAGAAATGGGTTTTTTCGGAGAAACCTGTGAGAAGGATGAGACGGCCAATACGGGAGTCGGACAAGATGAAGTCGGGCAAAGGAGGATGAGACGGACGATACAGAGGTCGGAAAAAATGAAGTCGGGCGAAGAAGGATGAGACAGCCGATAAGGAGGTCGGACAAGACAAGGTCGGGCAAAGAAAGATGAGACGGCTAATACGGAGGTCGGTCAAAAGGAGGTCGAGCGAAGAAATATGAGATGACAGACACGGAGGTCGGACAAGAGGAAAGGTGTGTTAATTGGTCGGACGAAGGAAGGTCTGTTAATTGGTCGCTTAATTAAGCGACCTGTTAATCGACTGGTCGATTGGCCGGTCATTTGGTCAAACAGTAGTTCAGTCGCTTGAAAGGGCGGTCAGTTGGTCGCTTGATTGGGTGACCAATAAATCGTTTGGACGAAGGGTTGTTCAGCCGTTTGAAGGGACTGGATGGTGGTCGCTTGATTGGGCGACTAATGAATCGTCTGGACGAATGGTTGTTCAACTGTTTGAAGGGACCGAATGGTGGTCACTCGAGTGGGCAACTGATTAGTCGTTTAGCCTAGCGACCAGTTAGTATCTGGATTGGTCGCTCGGGTTATTCGGTAGGTTCAATCTGTAGATGGTCCGGACGGTTTCTCAGTCATATGGTGATTTATGATCTGTCTGAAAAGACGGTTGAGAGAAGTTACAACCTGCGAGCGGATATGAAGGCACGACCTGGTTGTGGTGGTTGACATAGGTTTTAAATAGTCTGTCTAAAGTATGCTGGGCGGTTGAGTGGTCGTTCGGGACCAGCCGTCCATTTAAAGAGGTAAGGTGTTCAGAGGCGGTCGGTCGAGCCAGTTAAGTCCTGTAATTGGCAGGAGCGGTTGGCGAGATAGGTTAAGACACGTGTCAATGGAGGAGGAATTGGTGAAACAGTTAAAACACATGTCAATGGAGGAGAAATTAGTGGGCGGTTGATAGTGGTTGCTATAACCGACTAGACGACGGTTCAAAACGTTTCTTTAGGGACTATTTAAATATTTGGGTCTATTATGGGAAAGAATCTTTAATTGACATCAAATTCAATGAATTTCTTTTGGGGATCACCATTTTACTTTTACAGTATGTAGTATTTATTTTTCTTAGTTTACTTATGTATCGTTCGGCGTCTAAAAATTCTTAATCTCAGACATTTATTTTATCAAATTTGAAGATAATTTGTATTTTGAAATTTTACTTTTTATTATTGAAAAATTACATCTAACATCTATATTTTATCTAAATAAACAAATAATGGAGTAACATAAATAAAATTGAACTCCGCTTGAAGACAACAAACACTACCTTACTTATTCCCCAAAAGATATTTCTATGTATACAACATTATATCATCATTATCATCTATAAATAATCCGACGTAGTTCCAAAATATTATTCTACATTGCATCATCTACACATATATATATATATAAATAAAATTTCAAAATGAAAATGATTTCTTTACCTTAGCTAAACATCACGAGCTCTCCTCATCGGAGGAGCTGCCGCGCCGCCGGACGGCGAAGTCCCCGGCGGTGGCGGGGGCTTGATGCAGCATCATCGGGTTAACGGGAACCGGAAATTTATACGCAGAGCTGACCGTGGTTCGTTCGTTTATCATCCCGACTTCCTTGCAGACTCGGTCGAGGATCGCTAAGAAGTCGCGAACAACCATAAATATCCGGAAGGGATGAGCCTCTTCCTTGGCAGAGTTTCCGTGGAAGTATTCCGTTATCTCCTTCACTAGAGACAGGGCAACGCTTTCCTGCGCTTGGATCCGAATGATTTCCTCCTCGGCCTTTTTCATGAATCCGGCCATGGAGTCCGAGAACTTACAGTTGCCGTCGATGTCTTCCGATTCGGTTAACTTTGCGATTTCGCCTACGTTCCCGATACCATTGGAGAGCTTCGACACGTCGCTAGTGAGCACTTCGGCGTCCATCGCAGCAGCTTTTTTGACGTTGGATAACTCAGAGCTGAGGCCCGAAACGACTTGGAGGCCGAGCTTTCGGCACTTGACGTCGTCAGCTGCGTTCTGGCTAGAAAGACGGGCACCTTCGCTTCTTATTATTTCCTGAACGACAAAGTGTAACAGCGTTGTTTTCCCGTCAGCGCCCTTGACGTCAACGAGCTTGAGGAGCGTGTCGAGCTTGAATGCGTGGGCGTCGCCGCGGTTTGTTCCGACATTCATCCTGTTTCCCGTCTTCAGCACGGCTTCTAGAAGCTTCAAGAACATTCGGCTCGTCCTCAGTTCTTCGCAGGCCGCCTGTAACATTAACCGTAGGGGCTGCGTCTAAACTCGGGAATAAAGCATAAACGATCAGAGCATCGAATGGAAATGTACCTCGAGGGTTGTAAACGACTTCTTGAGGTACTCGACCTCGGATTCGAAATTGGTTATGTAGAGCATTGCGTCGACTCTCTTGAATGCGTGCGGCACGTCGAGGACAGCCTTGAGGAATCTTTCGGCAGCCCCGAGCTTTGTTGGAGAAGTGTCTTTATATTCTTTGAGCTTTCTCTCCTCTTCCTTGGTCGGCACCATTTTCAACAAACTCTCGAGAAGTTCGGCGCCCAGAGTCTCAGTGTTACCTGATTTCATCGAAAAATCATCAACAACAACACAACCTTAGATTTTAGATAGATCAAATCGAGGGGCACATCGAACCAAACAGCTCTACCTGATGCAAAACTAGAAAGAGATGGAAATGCAATCTCCAATCCAAGAAATCAAACAAACAAACAGACCGTAAAAAGGGCAACCCAAGCTACAAGAACCTAGCTCATTCGAACCAATAGAGGAAAAACAGTTAGTACCATGTGGAATGTGAATGTCTATCTTAAAAGAGCAAATCTTCCAATACTAGTTTGTTTTCTTATGCCCAACATCGAACTAGACAACAACAAAGAGGGGAGAGTATCTAGCAAGAGCACAATTACTGTTCAAAACATCCCACACAATCACCACCATCACAACAGTTAAATTAACCACAGCAATGCAAAAGAAGCATATCTATGGAGTCAGAGTCAATACTACCTTCGACGAGGCCTTCGCAAACTTCCTCCACAGTCACATTTAGAGCCCTCAACAGAATAGCAATGTTCTGTGCCTTCTTTGGATCAAGAACACGATTACTTCCGTCCTGCCCCGGCGTGGGGAGAACCTGCCATCGGGTTGCTTCCTTTAGAGCCGGTTTCGGATTGTTGGCAACGAACAATGTCTCGATCATCTCCTCGTTCAATCTGCAAATAGTTATACATATTAGAGGAACTAAACATAACCATAACCATAACGATAAGGAACACCACGATGTCTGTCTGTATAATTAGGAACATTACTTGAAAGAGCTGCATTTGAGTTGATCCCACACCATCTCCCGATCTGAGCTCGCCCTTACTTTGTCCCAATGCAGGGCCTTTAGCTTCGGTTTGGGGGTCGTGTCCTCGCTCCGATCGGTAGTGGAGGATTCGGTCGAGTGTTCTTCTGCTTGGTCGATTGGAGATCTATGGCTGTTGGCGTTGGCTGCAATTTCTGTATAATTTTGGGGAAGCTCCATTGGAGAAACTAGAATGGGGCTTTCCATGGGAAGGGGTCTTAGGGGCTTAATCGAAGGGGGCGCGCCGACAGGGGTTTTTGTGGGAGTTGGAGTTTTGGGGCTCTCCGACAGTTTAATGATCGATGGTGGTGGTGGCGGAGGGGGGGGAGGAACGGAAATTGGTGGTGGAGAGAGATCGGGAAGAGGAGGAGGTGCTGGTCGTGACGGCGGGGATGGATAAACGAAGAAATTATCCGGTGGAGGTGGAGGCGGAGGTGGAGGCGGTGGTGGAATTTCGATTGTGTGCTGTAGAGGACGGCGGAGTTTCGTCGGAGAATCGGTGGAAATCCTCGGCGAAGATTCTTCGCTTCTGCGAGAGTACCTCTCCGGAGACGATGAGCTAGGCGGCGACGGTGATGCAGATTCCTTGCGCATCGGCGGAGGGGAGCACTGCATTTGTCGGTTCAACGGCGGAATCGCCTGAATCTCGATCAAGTCGGGCGACTTTGGAATCGAATTTCTCGGACTCAAACTGTTTTCCGGAGAGAGGCTCAGAGAAATCGACCTCGCCGGAGAGCCTGAAACCGATCCAGAAACTGACGAGGAGTTGGTCGACGAGGAATTGGAACCGGAAACATTGAAATTCTCCACATCTATGGCGTGGAAAGCCCTTCGAGAAGCTGATCCAGTTCCTATAGAACTCTCCCGACCATTTAACGAGCCTTTGGGGGAGTAGAACTCTTCGTCTTCATCGTCTTTACTCGACGCGACATCGCCATGGGTGTTCCGGTAGCTTCGACCTAAACTCTGCTGCGTGCTCAGCGGCGGCAGCGGTCGAAGCTCCGGCGAGTCAATTTTCCTCGAATTCGAATTCGAGGCGTTTCCTTCCTTAGCCTTGCTACTGCTTCGATTGCCGACAATGCCGGCGCCGGGGGGATGCGAATTAACCAAAGTACCGAGGTATAAGAACTCCGAGCTTGTCTGCGAAGGTCTCTGAAGCCGGGGAATATGGCTGTTGCTCGGCGGAGGGTGGAAATTGGGGGTAGCAGTGCTGCTGTTGCTATCGGATCTCGCGGCTTTAGAGCAGTTTCCGAACGACGATCTATCAGCTCCGCCGCGCTTGCGGAGGTGAAGGAAGACGGCGAAGGAGACAATCGCGACGGCGGCGGCGACGGTGGCGACCGCAGCTCCGATAAACGCCTTCGATACGGCGGGCTTGGATTTATCTCGGTGAGGGACGTTGAGGGAGGAGATATTTGCTGGGAAGGAGGCGAACGACGCCGGCGAGGGCGGCGGCGGAGGGGAGGGGGGATCAGATGGGAAGAATGGGGCGCTGTTGTTCGGCGGCGCCAAAGTGGAAAACGGCAATTTAGGAACCGGCGGCGGAGGTGTCGGTGGAACCGATTCCTGCGGAAAGAACGGCTGGTGCAGAATGCGGTGGCGGTGGCGGTGGTGCTGAGACGCCGCAGACAACTGACCGGCGAAGATGAAGCATACAAACAGCGCTGCCATGGCCGCCATTCCTGATCTCCCAAAATAAACCTCCCGATTGAACGGCAGCGGCAATTAGGGCTCAAGTGGGTGTGAATGTGGGTTGGACTCCACTCTCATCGCACGCAGACATTCAACAGTAGAGAGAGAAAGAGACCTCGATCTGAAGTGTGAGAAAATTGCAGGTAAAAAGAATAAAAGTGGAAGCTGTAGAAGAAGACGGAACATGGGAGCACCATGGACCATACACCGATCACCGGATAAATCCACATTGTTGAAAAATTAACGGCGTAGATTTAGTAGGTGTTTGGCTCCCGGCACCTCTTAAACATGTATCACCAAACAGCTATAAATTAAGTATTTAAATAAAAATAATTGTACAAATACCTCTGCGTATGAAGCCCTACAGCTAAGATTCTATATATGTGTGTATATATATCTAATAAAATTATTGCTAAATAATAGTAATATAATAGTAATAGTAATAGTAATAGTAATAGATTCATTTATATTCTTCTTTTTGTAATTTTGTTATTTTAGTCGTAATTAATAATTGTCCATATATGAATGTAAGGTGGAGATGTGTAGGGGACACACTACCTTCACTAGTTTGTGTTCAGGTTAACAAAAGATAATGTCTCTTCTTGTCCCGCAAGGATTCCGGTACTATAGAGAGTCAAATCGAGAGAGTGAGGTTATGAGTTTAAACTCCGCTTCAGGTCTAGTGTGATTTGGATATTACATTCGATCGCTGAGATTTACCCGTAAGTACTTTCGGGGAGCATTGCGAGTTCTCTGATTATATAAAAAGAAAAAGATAAATTGTGTTCTTTTGTGGATTTTATTTATTTTTTTTTATATTATATTACAAATTTATTTTACATTCAAAATATCACAACAACTTCTATTATATCATATTAAACAACTATTTAAATTCATCGATTTACTAAAAAATTCAAACTCAAAAACTAAAACTCTCAGACAAACACACCTAATTTGGTTTTATTTTATTTTTTAATTAATTTTTAGACATATGAACATGGGAAGTGTTGTCATATACTCTCTCCTTCTTGTGCCATTTTTCTTCCTATTTTTTATTTACAATTTTTTTGTAAATTTAATAAACAAAATTAGTGTGTTTACTTGTAAGATTTTAAGTTGTGGGTTTTAGTTTTAAATAGTAAAATTTTAAATTGAAATAATTATTTGATATGATATAAATATGTATTGATATAATATTTTGAATGTAAAATTTAATTTTAGTGTAATATAATAAATAAAAAATAAGTGATTGATTTGATGTTTTAGGAAAAAAAATTAGAATAGTAAAACCGAAAATCAAATCTGGCAATTAAACACACTTTAAAACTATATAAATGAACAAACTTTGCTAAAATATGAAAAACATTCCAGATTTAAAAGAATTACAAATCTTAAGGCTTGGATTTGTTTGTAAATTTTTAATTTGAATTCTACTATTTATTGATTTTTTTATGAAAAATTATCAAATTGATATTTATTTTATATTTTTAGATTATATTAAAATATTTATATTTATTTATATCACAATAAATAATTATCTAATTTAAAATTTTATTGTTTAAAACTTTAAACACAATTCCTAAACTCACAAATAAAGATGTGGTTGCGTTTGTCTACGTGAGATAATTTAAGGAATATATATATATATATATATTTTAATGTGAAATCTAAAAAATTATATAGAAAATATTTTTTTTTAAGATATTAATAGTTTTTGAAAAATTTATATATTTTTTTGTTAAAAAAACACCCCGTTATTCTTTTAATAATTTTTTTTTAAAAAAATTACTAATTATTATGAATATGAAAATATTATCAAAATATTTTTAAAATATTAATAAAAAATAATTTATTTTAAAAAACATCACATTGACAAAGTATAAAAATGAAACCTACCATACCGTACACCCGTAAGTTCAAAATAACGATGTAGTAAGAATTGTTAAAATTAATTAATAATAATACTGCATTCGTCCCTATTTTCTATATCTATCTGTCTCAAAATAGTTATTGTTCGAATTTGTGTTTAAATAAATTATTATAAAAGCAGTTTTTTTTTTTTCATTAAAAAAAAAATGGATGTAATATAATTGAAAATGTTTTTAAACAGTTAAAATTACTAAAAATACATATTCTTAATATAATTGTATTTTTTTTATAAAAATATTATAATTTATTTTAACATTTATTAATTATATTTAAATATTTTAAATTATAGTATAAAAAAATTTTTCAAAAAAAGTTAATTATTTATTTTTAAAAATTTTGATTTAAATATAATATATAAATTAAAAAAAAAAAATTATAAGCTAATAATAAATTATTCGTATTTTACATTTATTTTAAAATTTTATATATATTATTTAATAATTTTAGTACAATTAAAAAATTTATATACTTTTATTTATATTTGGTATTTCAATTATAATTTTAAATTTTATTCAAAGATAATATATAAATGAAAAATAATAATATAATTATATTTTTTAAATTTTTATTAAAATATAATATATAAATTAATTAATTTTATATTATATTATAATATTGTATTTTATTATTATTATCATTATATTATTGAGATAAAATAGTAATTTTAATTGGAAAAATTTTTTTATTTATTTTAGAAGCTATCTTAACTGAAAAATATGTTTCTGAAAAAATATGAAAAAAATTATTTTTTTACCTCAAAAACTGCTTTGTTTTTTTGGTAGAAACCAATACAAATAAGTACAAAGTATTTTTTTTAAAAAAAAACATAAGCCAAAAACTCTCGTCAAAAGTCAATTCAAATGGAACTTTAATAATTGTATTAGCTAACCAACATAATTAATATCTTTAGAATTTTCAATATATTACACAAATATTATTACTTTATATTACATAATTTGATAAGTATATTTTTATTTTTTACACTATAACCTAATATAATACTCTCTCTGTCCCGGTGAAAGAGTGGCGTTTGTTTTTTGCAGGTAGATATTTTAATATTAGTATTATATTGGATTGTAATAAAAAAAGACAAAAATACCCCTATTAGTATAGTGTAATATAAAAGTAATGATATTTGTATAATATATTATAAATTAGAAGGGTATTTATTATGTTAGGTAAGTAGTACAATTATTCAATTAAAAAAAAAAATAACATTATTTTAAAATGAATAAAAATAAAAAATAATAATATTTGAATAGGACAGAGAAGAATGTATTAAAATTCCAAAATCTACGTATAAAAAACACAGAGGACGGGATTCTCTTTTAACGAGACTTAGGTAGTAATAATAATAGAGAAGAATATGAACCAATTGCAATCAATGCCAATAAATGCTCTCTCCACCTGTTTTTCAAGACTTTCATTATAATAATAATAATAATAATAATAATAATAATAATAATAATGATGTACTTGAAAACATATGTGTGTTTTTACTTGTTCAATTTTATTTGATTTTACAAATATAATTATTTTTTTTAAAAAAATATTAATTATAACACTTGTATTTTATTTATTATATTATATTAAATATTAATTTTACATTCAATATATATATAGCACATCAAATTATTATTTTAATTCAAATTTTTTTTATTCAAACTAAAATTTTAAACACACTCATAATCTATTTGTTCTACTTAAAATTACTTCTTCCGTCCCATAACAAAGTATCCATTTTTCTATTTTAGTCCGTCCCATAATAAAGTATCTATTTCCTTTTTTTAATAATTGTACTATCTACCTAACATTACAAATACTCTTACAATTTACAATATATTACACAAATGCTATTACATTTATATCACACATACTAATAAGGTTATTTTAGTCATTTTTACTTTATTCCTACTATATCCCAATATAATACTAATATTTCTAATATTACTTGCAAAAAACAAATGAATATTTAATTTCGGGACGGATGAAGTATTATTTTTATTACTTTTGTATATCTAGTTCAGAAACATATATTTTATTATAATAAAATAATGTTATACCAATATTAAAATATTCATTTTTTTATATAAATTACAAATATAATATTGTACGTAAAGTAAAAAGAGCATAAACATCAATTATCTTATATATTTTCATTAACTAATAAAATACTTTTATTTTTTAATTTCCTATAAAAATTCAAAAAGATACTTTCAATTGGGAACGAGGAAGTAGTATATTTTTCATGATCTAGTCAGCACTGTGCTAATTTAATTAAGTTTGCACATCAATTTGAAGAAATTAGTATTTCATCGTAAGACATATAATATATGATGTGTTATATAGAAATATGTATTGTGTGAGTTATATAATTTGTGATACTGTATAATTTATTTATTGTGTTGAAATTACAATATATTATGGTATATAAAATTATACTCCCTCCGTCCCAAAAGAGACGTCTTATTAGGTGTTGGCACGAGAATTAAAGAATAATAGTATTTAATTGAAAGTATGTATAAAGTAGATTTTAATGCCCTTACGTTTTGAAGGATTTTAACAAGTAGGTTAGAGTAATAATAAGGGATTGTTCGAAAAAAGTATAAATAATTTTGTTATAAAGTGGGGACCACGATTACAAAAAAAGGAAACAAAACAATTGTTTTAGGACGGACAAAAATGAAAAAACAAGACAACTGTTTGGGACGAATGGAGTATAATATACTATCAAAATATGTATTATATACTATATTATACTCCCTCCGTCCAGCTAGAAAGTATACACATTTCTATTTTGGGACATCCAATTACAAAGTAAACATTTCATTAAATACCTTACTTTTTTCTACAAATACTCTTACTTTACATCACATCATTACTTTTATATCAAAAAGCAAGGGCAAAAATGTCATTATTCTACTTTTAATTATCCACTATAATTAAAATATTATTATTTCTTAAACATCGCGCCAAAATTAAATGTATACTTTATCTGTAGACGGAGGGAGTATTAATATATATTTCAATACAAATATGTGTTGATTAGTAACCAAAGAAAATTGTCATATATAAATAAATCAACACAAAACATTAAATACAATGAATATCTTTGTTATTTCAAAATAAATGTAAATTCAAAATTATTTTAAAATGTGTATATATATATATATACATATAATAGTGTAAGAATACAATAAT